ATCTCTGGCTGAGATACAGTACTTTACCTCTCGCTGCTCCAGTCTGCAGACACCACGTTGTACAACATTATCCCGGTTCCAAAGAAGCGCTGTTGACTTCTGTCCATTAGCACTAACCTTATCCATCATAAGGGGGTTTGAGCGGACATTCCAAGCCTTGATTACATCCTCCCCCTCGACTCACTGGACCCATTTCAATTTTCCTACAGACCAAAGAGATATACAGGCATATGCATCAACCCAAGCCCTCTACACTGCCCTCTCCCAACGGGCCTAGAATAACATATATGTGAGAATAGTGTTTAAAGAATATAGATCAGCATTCAACACCATTATGCGGTTCAAGATTGTAAGCGAGCTCAGAGACCTGGGGCTCAACACCGCCCTCTGTAACTGGATCCTGAACCTCCTCATGGGCAGGCCCCAGGCTGTGTTGATGAACACTGCAACATCCTCCACCTGACTCTCAGCACAGGAGCCCCTCAGGGCAGTGTTCTCAGCCCTCTTTTGTTCTTCTTGTGGTCACAAACAGCTTCATCAGTCTGATCATAGAAATCAACAAGATTGCCTGCAAAGGGAAGCTTGTAGCCCTGACATCTTGGTGCAAGGTCATTAACCTTCTCGATTTTAACTCAACAAAAAACCTAATTGTTGACTACAGAAAGCAACAGCCAGGATATGCCTCCATCTCTATCAATGAGACCGTTTATTCAGTTTCTTTATTGCAATGCTGTCCACACAAATGTGTTATCCTTTTTTGACTTTATTTTTTTATATCTTAGCCCTATATTTTATGTCTTAGGTACCGATTTTTCCTATACTCTACTTGCACAATTTTCATATATATGTTTTGAGCTTTGAAGTATGGTGCCTTGGACCCAATATTTTAATTGCCAATGACTCCTTCTCTGTAATTGTTGCACACCCTATAAGGACAAAGAATTTGAACTTGAACTTTGAGACATTGACAGAATAGTTAACGGGACATAAATAAAGGATAAGATGGAGACTTCGTGATCAGGAGGTTTTCAGAGGAAGAAGGACACGATTTAAGGAGGGTGAAGCACCAGTTTTTGGTTGGTTGGCTCGGGCCCCGACTGCTGATTGATCTTCAGGTGACAGCCGGTGTCGGGGGCCCACGGCCAGGCTGTCACTCCCATGCGCTTTCCCACCATCCTGCTCGCTCACATCTTCGCTCTGTCGCTCTTTCTTTCTCCCCCACTGCTTTTTAAACTCTCAGTCGTGCTAAAATAATCTTTCACCTTCTTCTCTCCATTGATCCAACCCATACAGTAGCTCTCTCGCTCTCTCTCTCCATCTTCCTCGTCATCATTCTGCTTCCCTACCCTTTTCACCCCAGTTGGTTGGACAGTTGGATTTTTCACTCCTTTCTTCTTCTACCCTTCATCTCTGCCTTTTCATTTCTCTAATGCTGGGAACCAACTGTCTTCTGCTCAGAACTGGCCATTTCACTCCACCTATTTAGTATGCAAGAGAGCATAATTGCTCATGTAGAAGGATTTATGCTGTGCTTTTGTCCGGCTATGTATGTGTGTGAATTTGTATATGAATGTGTGCCAGTGTCTGTGGCCTGAAAGCCCACGAAAGCATCACAGTCATTTTACTCAGACATGGCCCTGGGATATATTGGTGACCTTGGTCTTTAGTGAGTCTGCCCAGGTTGCTCAATTATAGGGATTTATTTTTCTGTGTGTGGGCGTGCACGTGCAATTTCCAATTTGTGTTTGTGCGTGAGCTCTCATGTGTATGCACATGCATACATACAGGCACGCTTGAGGGGCATGCTTAATGATAGACTCGTTTGCACAGCTCTGCTTCTAATGATCTATTAAAGTACTCTTAGCAAGTAATTATATGGTCAGTCCCAAAAGGCTTATGAGGCCCCAGAAGGGATGACTAAATATACATGAAGATGAGAGACCATATAATGAAGAGGAATGTATGGCATTCACCTTTGAGTTTATGAACAAGAATAAATACATAAAGGACAGTGTCAAAAATATTTCTCAAATGTTCTCCTGACGTGATCAAGACTGGGAATATTTGTTCATCTAGTTTTACTGAGGAACATATAATCCCTCTCTTGGCACTCTTAGACTTTTTATTTATTTTTTTATAATTTGAGAAAATTGTAAAATCAAGTCAGCAGGCTATCAATTTAACTTAATCCTGTTTATATCTGAGTAAAAGAGTCACAGTGACCATTATTCTCATCGTTAACAGAAATGTCTTATGAAGTACAAGAGCAGCAAGCAGCACATCCAAATAAATGTAACTGCCTCATCTTCTAGTTGTGTATCAAAACGATTTGCCCCTTAGCCTTTTTTCCCTCAAATTTGTAAGCTGTCTTTCGACCACACAAATAACGAGACATTTATTTTAAAGTTTCAATAGAGATGTCAATTATACCATACATACACAGAAACTAAACCTGTACACAGTGGAAAATCGAACAACAAACGTTACAATCTCAACAGTGGGGGAAATGTCTTTTTCTGTGTTGTTTTTTTTAAATCTTGTGAGAAGCGCATAACATAAACGTTTAAAAAAAAAAAAGAATAAGGCCAGAAAAAAAATACTGTACTACTCTTACAAGAACAAAAGTTTAAAGAGCATGTTGTAAAGTTCAGGTTCTGTAACAAACGCCCTCAGGGTTCAACGCAGTTTAAAGTAGTATTTGTTAATGACGAATAACAATCTGGTCAGATTGAGTATTTCTTGAATTGGACGCCAGACTTCTCCACTCAAACTGAACGATCAGAGTTGTGTATTTCTAAGTTCAATCAGCTTCATCTGTGGGCCAAGTGAAAGAGATGGGATCAGATGTTTGCCTTCTCTGATCCTCTGCAAATGCAGTTGATTTCCAAATGGGCCAGGAGGCGATTTTCTTAAAGATATTATATAAGAAGAGGTAAAGACACTTTATGCCTGGGAGATGTGGAATCACGTAGCACAAATATAAATGATTTACTTGTTCATCACAGCACACCACCTGCAGATACAGTATACAGTATATATAACAACATTCTCCCTGGTGAAGAGTTCCTTCAGCCCAGGACATGTTTCATTCACGTATCACACATAACTTTGCTGCTCCCAAAGTCTATTGTCCTTGTAGCTAATTTTAAACCCTCTCCACCTGGAATATTTTTAGCAGACTTTTCCACAGTTGTTTGTAATCAACATCCAGCAAAGTTGCGCGAATGCCTGCTAGAGAAGCTAAACATTTGGGACAATATCTACGGCTTCCTCCGCCCTGCTCTGTTCCGAGTCTGTATCAGTGCACTGGTGTCTTCACATAGAATGAGTCATGTTCCTCTTGGTCTGAGAGCCTTTTCCACCTACCTGCTTATCAGTTATTTAATTCACTGACCCTTTTCCCTCTTTGCGTGTGAATGTCCATTATCTCATTTGCCTAATCCCTCTCGTCCATTTTGTTCTTACAGATGAAAAAGGCAATTTCTTATTTTTTCATGTTCTGTTGCAGCATAGTCATGCCTTAGCTTGAATTCTCCAGAACACAATCATGACTTCCCTTTGTTTGGCAAAAAATGTTTTGGGTTGTTTGAAAGATTTTGCCGTATTCCTTAAATGTTGTACCACACGCACCCTGGGTTTCTACATAGCAGGAGGTTTAAAGCTGGTCGTCGAGGGCTTTGATCATTGTTTTCCAGACACATTTGATTCCTTTCATTAACAGGTGTCTAGCTTCTCTTCTCTACCTCTTTCCAAGTTGTTGACCACTGTATCCCATACACATGCTATCATGTTTTATTCCCATTTGTTCCCCGCATGCCCCCCTGCCACCTCTTTACTCCCACACCAACACATTTTTATTTTCTACCTTACTTTCCCCTCCAATCACTCTAAATTATGAGTGTCCCTGGCCTTGGTGACAGACAGGTAGACTGTGTCTGGTCTGGCTGTCATAAGCTGGTGGCACGACAGGCTGCAAGACGAAGGCTGCTACCTGAGGGGGCACCAGGTTCTGACACCTCTATTAACCTTCAGGAAACGTCCATCCCCGCTCACAGCATTCCCTCTCCTCCATGTCTTCCTCATCTCTAACTCCACCTGTGCCCTGTCTGCTGTTCCCCAGGTGGAGAAAAAACACCATGTCCCTATGGCCAAATAAGAAACATATATATTTTTTCTCTCCTCCTAACCCAGAGCATTTTAATATGCAATGCATTTCTGCCTCACTTTCTCAATAATCAGTCTCAGTGTAGGGCTGCTCGATTATGGCAAAAATCATAATCTCGATTATTTGGGTCAATAATTGGAATTGCGATTTTTTTCATTGACTTTGAAAACATCCATTTATTGGAGAAAAAAAATGTGAACAGTATGTTTTTAGCAGTTGATTACCCTGAACTTTAAGTATAATTCAACTTAAAAACCAAAACAATTTTTTTTATTTAAAAATAAAATTTTAATAAAAAAATAATCGTTTTATTTCGATTACGTTGTTTTCGTAATCGTTGCTAAGCCATAATCGTAATCGCGGTTGAAATACGATTAATTGAGCAGCCCTATCTCAGTGTCCTTATTTTCTTCCCCATTTACTGTCTCCAGTCCGTCTTAAGCTCTTTTTACTGTCCATCTCGCTCTAATGTAGGCCCTTAACATTGCAATCCAGTATTAACATAATGGTCCATATGTCAAGAATAGCATATGGCCAGTTCAAAATGCATGGTTTTGTGCAGTGGCTCATAGCTAAATGGTGGGAATGAACAAATTGCCGCAGCTTTCTCATGTCAATCAGGCGGAATAATGGGAGTTTATGAATGCTAAGCGAGGCGGATTAAATCGGATGTAAACATATTTGATCAACACATGCCCTTTTTACCTTGACAATGATTCAATGTATCATTTGGTGTTGTTCAAAGTAGATTATGGCAGAATGTGACAGCTTTCATGGGAATAAAATGCTTTCACCCAGTAATCTCCATCTGTCTCGCTCTCATTTTGCCCTCCAGGAATTCTCTCTACTTCGACTGGACGACGTGGTGGAGCAACAAGTCAACATAGTTGGATTTTCAGTCTTCAACCAAACTCATCCCTTCTTCCAGGATTTTGTGTTAAGCCTCAACCGCTCCTGGCAAGAGAACTGTGACCATGCACCCTTCGCTGGCACCCCAGTAAGTACACAACACACACACACACACACACACACACACACACACATGATCTCACACACACACAGAGAAGAGGAGGGTTACTCATGTGAGAATAATGGTTTAAGCCTTTTTTATTTATTCCCATACCAAGTTCAGACAGGGTTTTCAGAGCCAATATTCTTCCAGTGTGCTGCTGCATCTCAAAGTAATCCAACTAAATACTGACGTCATTTATACACAAAAATACCACGGTTTGACATTTATCCAGGTAACTGTTTTATTAGCAGGTGCTGCTGTAGGCAGTTGTTATTTGGCAGACAACTAATTTGCAGCATCCACCTTCCTTAATATATTGAAAATTGATCCCTGTTAAATTTCCTTCAGAAGAAGATGCAAAAGAAAATTCTTAATTCCACTGATCATCCAAAGATTGCTCAACGTTTAACATGTCCTGCTCTGCATATATGAATGAGTGACTTCAAAACAGCCTCAAATCACTAAGCTACTGTTAAAATATGAAAGTACAACTGTTGCAGGCTTTTATGTTAAGAAACTCGATTAAATACAGTTTTTTTTACATTTGAGCCCACCTTAATAAATATTTTGTACTGACAGTAGAACACTCTCATACTTGTTTTATGAGATAGACTTGTCTGGAATTTCTACGTGCTGTTCAGCTGATAAAATGTCGTTAATGACCTGCATGAAAGTGATGACTGCCACCCATCCGTAAATGAGTGCTTGTTTATGAGACCTCAATTTATGAGTATTATCTCACTGCCCAATAATCCCTCTCAGGATTAAGCCCTCTCACCCAGAAAGTGTCACTCGTAAAAACGGCATCTCAAAGTAACGAGGGAATTGAGCCGCTATGAGATGAACTCCTGCTTCTGAGTCCAGTAAAGAAGTATTGCAGTGTCATGTCTTTCATGTCAACAGTGGATGAAATTAACTTTCTCCTAATACAGTATACTATACATATGAGACTATAATAAATCTTCAATGCCATCAATATTGAAGTCATTTTTCAATCATTTATCAGTGTCGAAACCAATCAAGCTAACAGTATAATTGTAAATATCTTCAAGTATTAAACCAACATATATTTTTTAAAGTAATTCAAATGGAAATGTTTTTGTCCTATCTTTTCTAAAAATGACGTGAATATTAAGTAATAACATCTAACAACAGTCCCAACAAGAACAACATATTCGAGGCAAATGAACAGCTTTTGCAAATGTTCTCAAGGGCTTCATTAGGAACATCAAAGTCAGTAAAGGAAATTATTGAATTAATCCCTGACTTTATGTAAAACTAAATAAACACATTTAAGCCCATGACCCCCGTTGGCTGGTGGAACAGGTTAAGAATAGCATGTAAAAATGTATTTTGGGCACAGCAGGTCACTCGGATGCTTTTGAGCCTGCGGCAATTAGAACTTGTGACTAATTCGCTAATAACTAGAGAGAATAAAGGCTGATGAACGCAGAGCAAGAAAGTCATTAACTCATTTAGACATGCACGTAGATAATATGCTGTCTTTTCATTTACTGTAATTAGGTCTGGAGGAATTGTAACTGTGGGGCTCATACGCACAGAAAATGCACACATGTGACCTCTTTGCATGTCAACCTGAGACTGTTAATGCATTGAAAGATAAAGTCGTGCACCATGCCAACTTCGAAAGATGCAGCATAGATTTAAAGTTTTACAGGAGACAAAATTAGTGTAGGACAAACAACGCTGCCTAAAAATGTCTCGCGCTTTTGGGGAGGTATTTATATTCTCAAATCAGCATGAAGAAAAAGTAGACTAAAATATCAGTAGATAAACAAGACGTGACTGTATTTGTGTTACAGAACATCCGGTACAACCAAAGGATTAACGGGTTTTTTTGTAAAACAAGCCCAAAATAGTTCATGTTGGCACACAAAGAGAGAACACCTGTGACAGAGGAGCTGCTACGCCGAGAAAAGATCACTAACAGTATGTTGCTGAAAACTTTGTCAAAACAATAAAAAATAAAATCATAATAAAATCTGCTTGATCATTTTAGTAGACAAGATTCAGACCTATTGTGCATATTTACTTTCCTATCCACTTACGAAGATGAGTAGATGCAATGGCCCTATTAGCTTCACGGCATAAATATGATAAGATACGAGTGGAATATAACCAGAAACACTTTGCCATTTACTTTTTAATGCTGACTTAACAAACAATAAGACATTATTCCCATCTGTCAAAGCCACAGTGCTGATTGTAATGTCTTCACAGGCTGTTTGTACGCAACATTTTGCTTTAAAGTGCAATCCAGCAATTATGTTTGCCAATTTAAGGTTGTAAGACATCACAGGTTTTCAGTTTAATGGCTTATTGTTCTCTTTGATCCAACATTTATTATGCATCACCATCCCTCCCTCTTCCAATATCCACCAAACATCAGGGCCATTTCATCCCAATTTCCATTACACAGATGTACCGCACCGCACTGTACTGATGTACCCTCCTTTGGCCTCTAATGCAGCGCATCATGCATTTTAATAAAATGTACATAGCAGGATGCAGTGGTAGTGATGAGGGGGCTGTTTGTACAAGGGTGATGAGAGGAAAAGCTGCCTGAAGCTGGCCTTCGCTGAGAACAGGCGGTGATTCAAATGGTCCGGATGTGCCAGTTTCATTGGGGATAAGAGAAGGAAGGACAGTGTCTCTCCCAGAGACAGAGAGACAGAGAGAGAGAGAGAGAGATGCTTTTCAACGCTGTCAGCAGATCAGAGTCTTTCTAATGATCTAATGGAATAATCTCACTGCCACTCCAGGGATGGGTTAACCCCTTATTGACCGCTAACTACCAACATGGTACACTTGCAGTTTGGAGTCTTTGCATCTGTGTGTGTGTGTGTGAATGCATAATGTGTGCACTTTCTCTCCCCCTCTGCAGCTCTCCTCAGCCCTGCTCTTTGATGCAGTATACGCGGTGGTGGCGGCCGTCCAGGAGCTGAACCGTAGCCAAAATGTTGGCGCCACCCAGCTCTCCTGCAAGTCCTCCAAGATTTGGGAGCACGGCACCAGCCTGATGAATTACCTGAGGATGGTAAGTTTAACTTTAATTTAGTTTTACATACTCTAGGACAAAACACACCAAAACAAATACAACACGAAAACGAATTGATTCCTTTCCCTTGTCTGTATTGTAAATATAAATCTCCCTAATCTACAGACAGCTATTTTTTAGCTTAGTTTAGCATAAAGACTGATTACAGCCAGCCTTGCTAAGTCTAAAGCTAACAGAACTTTATGCTTTTTCTTGGCGGTCGCAGTTACCTCCTCGTCGTTTTACCATGAGAAACCAGCAGAAACTCCAGAAAGTCACTGCGCCATGGCAAAAACCTTTAAACACCGCCAGGCCAGCTGCTTTCCCTGTTTCCAGACGTTATGTTTATCGAAGCTAAGCAAACTAACCAGTTGCTTTATTCTTGCAGCAAATCACCGAAATGACAGAACTGATGTTTTTAACTGATATCTAACTCTAGACAGAAAAGTATGTTCCCAAAATGGCAAACTATTATCCTTAATTAAAGATAATTCTCAGTTTTGTAAGTTTTCATTTCTGTTTTCGTACTCTCTCACTCAACAAGAAGGGCAGGGAATGTCATTATTAGAAGGTACCAGATAATGATAAAGATATTGCCAAGCTTATTGAGAGCTTTGTTTTTGCTTTCCTGATGTTGCATATTAATTGGTTATCTTAAAGCCCTTATATTATCGCTGACAACAGATGACACTGTATAATAGTCTGTGCTCTCATCTTTTATACGCTCCTTATCCACTAGGTCAGTTTATCTTGTCTCTACATTATACTGAGAGACAACAGAGAAGGAGGGATAAAGATTAGCTGTCAGTGAATAAAATGTGTCATCCTATTAGGGAGAAATGGCTGTAACTGATAGGGCTATCAAAATGCTTAAATGTGATGTGTTCGATATCAGACTGTTTGTCTTCCTCTCTCAGAGGAAGAAGACCTGACTAATGGCTTGTCTATTCCGTGGTAAATTGAAGATATAACAGCCTCGTTCTTCATATTATTATTATACATTTGACACATTTCAAGAGGCTGATCCAGAGCCAGTAGTGCTAATGTAGCCTCGAGTGAGATCTATTATAGCTGCTGCTTAGAGGGAGTAGGCTCTATTTCTTTGGGAGGTATTTTAACATGTTGCTGTCTCTCTTTTGGATAGGTAGAATTGGAAGGTCTAACGGGCCACATTGAATTCAACAGCAAAGGTCAGAGGTCTAACTACATCCTGAGGATCATGCAGAACAGCAAAGATGGCCTAAGGCAGGTAAAGTAACTCCCAATCCTACAAATCCTATGTTGGTATTATCTGTCTTCAAAGTAACCACATGCTATGGTTTCAGCATCAGCACTGCCTTTCAACAGCTTGTAGTCCATCCCATTGGTTCAAGAGCATTTACATATAAATAGTGTGCTATACCAGAAGTGAATCACAAAGATTCTTCCATTTGCTTTTTTGATAGACACTGGCCATAATATAGCTGTTACTGCTGAACACAAAGCTCTTCAGCGCACACCTTCCTGATCTCTGTAGGGCACTTCTATGGGCAAATGTTACCGTTGTTTTATGGCAGTGAGGTAACTTGTGCTGTATTGTACTGCAGGGAGCGGCGATAACACTTGCAGGGGTTCTGCTCTGAACACCAGCTCAACTGACATCTTTTGGTCCAAACAATTCCCATTATCATGCTGGCAAGAGTGTCAAGATAGAACTAAAAAGTAGTGATGCCATTTTGAAGGTGCAAAGAGGCATACTGGATTTGTTGGCAGGGCAGACAGTTTTTGCTATGGGTTTTACAGATATTCCTCAGTTACTTTTGATGACTTTTAGATACAAATGTGAAGCTGTTATTCTCTATGGAATGAAAGAACATTTAGTCACAAAATGACTATATTGTATCAGCAGGAATTTGTGGGTGGTGTTGATCAAACTCCAGTCACTCCATTATTGCCCCAGTGGATGCTGGCATTTCACGCTTCCTACACTAGCGGTCTTGTTGTTCTCTCTGGCTTTCTGAAAATACTCTACATGCACCACAGGCATTTGAGTCTGTGCTCTGAACCACACTGCGCAATCTCTGAAACTGCTTGGTCTCCCTCAGAATCTCTTTGCCTCACTTTCACACCAGGGAACATAAATAATTTACAATTTCTTCTAAATTGAAGACATTTATCAGGATTACAAGGAATTAAAGTAGTCAGTAATGAAATGTAAGTGACGAGAGGCTTTGAGCAGCTTTTAGTGCTCTCTAATAATGAATGGATGGCAGAACTACTGCTGCTCTTGTTCTCTGGACTGTATCAATTGCTTGGGGATTGGTGATATTATACTAGGGTTTTCAATGTTTCTTGTCAGGGATCCAGAAATCAAACATTCAGCAGATTTAAAGGCCACCTATCATGCTATTTATAGGCAATAGCATAGGTCTCAGATATATTAAATATATAAAAATGAATGTCTATGAAGTGTTTTGCTCAAAATACCAAAAAGATCACCCATTCTAGCCATGCCTCATATCTAAAGTGCTGATTCGGGGTATAAAGCTTTAAAAAAAAAAGAATTAAAAAAAAAAAAAAAAAAAAAAAAAAAAAAAGAGGGGGCGGAGCTTATGCCTGCTCATGAGGGACACGGCAGATACTGGCCGTTTCTCAATCTCGAGGAAACTGGCTTCCAAGCCAATTTTTCAAGGATGCTACGTCATCGAGCGCCGCCGAAGGACTGTTCCAATCTCCAGCATACTTGGAATTCCACCGAGGCCGCGTCCTTGGTTTGTGGGTAATTTCGAGGCTGCACATGGGTAGACTTCGCTTCCTTAAAATCCCCACAATGCTTTGCGCACGGACCAATTTCCCCAAAACTCTGGCAGAAAATGTAAGGCTGTTCCACTCTTCGTTTTCCGAATGCCAGGAAGGATTTTGCCTAGCTTCTGAAGCAAGTGACTCGGAAGACATGTGCTACCAAGCAAGCATCCTCGCGATTGAGAAACGGCCACAGTCTAAACTCTGCGGTGATGAAACGACATATCATGTTCAAAACCACATCAAAGATTATTTCTGAAACAGTATGGAGCTCAAATGCTTTTTTTCTTGCAGGTTTACCACGGGGTGAGTTCCTTTTTCTATCCTGCTTCATACTCTCTCCAGTACAGGTTAGCTCTGAGTGTTAGCGATGCTTGCTAATGTAAACAAAGACCATATTATGTCCAAAACACGTCGGGCACTGATTCTGATAGCGAAGTTTCTGATAGGGCCGTGGATCCACCATCCGACATGACTTAATTTACGTCATATCGGATGGCAAATCTGGATCAGCTCCATTGTACCCCCGTTTTTAGAGATTTGCGCACGGACGAAAAGAGAGAGGGTTTTATTTTCTGACACTTTGTGAGTTCCCTGACACACCGGGGACACATTTAAGTATAAAAGACATAAAAAAGTGCATTTTGCATGATAGGTCCCCTTTAAAATATCTATGTTAAGACACACTGTCTGAAAAACAATTAGTTTTTGACATAAACGCATTAAAACCCATTATTACACAAAACTTCCCAGACATTCTCTCATTGTAATGTTGTCTAAATATTGAAATCGAGGAGTGAGAACCTTCTGATGGAAAACTGATATTTCCTGGACAACACTTAAGGAACCTCTGACCGGGAATTTATCGAGGTGGTTGGAGACAAGAGCATTGTTGTTTCAAATTGAAGACTGGCTGGGGAAAATATGTGTGGGCAAAGTGATTGTCCTGTACTCATCCATCAACAGCAGCTCGAAAAAGCTCCAGTGGGGCTCACCCGTCTACAGCAGTAAATATCTATGGTTGATCTAGCAGGTAAAAAAAAAGAAGGATTTATTGGTAGAAAAATAAGTGCTCAAATGTAAACATCAGCCCATAAAAAGCAGAAACCTTGAATGGCTGAGTGGTAGAGGAAGAAGGATCTATGATTGCTTTTATGGTAATCCGCAGCTAACACTAGGTTTCAGACTATTTATTAAGAAAATAAATGTATATGAGTCACAAAATAACTTTATTTTTTATACTAATGTGTTCTGTCAGATATTGCAGTGTGTCAGACTCTGTACTGGGGAATCAAAGTGAAGGACAAATACATACAACTAAATAAAGACGGATGGATGGAGTTATACAACAAAAAATATACTTTCAATTTCTTCTGCCAACCCTGTTTAAAGAAGTGGCAAGTTGTTGTTTCCATTGCCAACAAAGTATCTAGACATACTGCAGCAGTTGGCTACTTGACAATGTGTCTGGGACATTACAGATTTAAGATAAGATCTACATATCATGTTGAACTAGATAGGGACATTTTGTAAGTCAAGTTACCTAGGGTTATCCTCTTTTATACTTTAACCACTACTTTTATTTGGCATAAGGCAAGTGACGACCAATCCCTTAGTAACTGGACAACAGCAGTTTTCTTTTCCCTGTCCCTTCCTCGTCCTCACTCACATTCAGTGCTGACAATGAGGATTATATCTGCATGCATCTTAATGCGTGTGTGTCTTTTTATGAGTGGATGTCCCAGATTATTCAGAATGCCATCATTTCAACATACTAAACCATTTGCTTTGAAACCACTGTTTTTAGAAATGCCAAGACTTTAGTGTTTTATATTTCATCTTAAGGCCTGATTCTTGATGTAAAGCTATACATGTAATCCCTGAAATGTATGTGTTCATGGTGCTATACTAAACTGCACAGTATTTTCCCTAGAAATACCTGTCCCTCACCCTGACAGCTGTGTTTTCCCTGCTGCCCTGACTGTTTTCCAGTGGATGCTGCATTGTGTATGCTGGTTATTGACTTGTCCATAATCCAACAAACATTCACCCCTCTGCAGTAGCAGATAATGTAGCTGTATTTTTGCTGCTTTATCTACAGCATTTTTGTATTTGTTGTTATACTATTATAAGATACAGACAAGACATAAACAGTAAGATAGCACAGAGACGAAAAAATGATTTCCACATCTCTGTGTTAAAACATTTCACCCTTTCGGATTTGTTGATATCCGTGAATGAGGGGATTGAGTGTCAGAAAAATCTTACCTCAGCAACCCGTGAAAGAGTCAGACAGAAATCCCATCCGCCTTTATTAACCTTGTCTGCCTCTCTCTGTGTCCCCTCTTTATTTTGGCACTGGGCCAGTCAAGCAGAAGGGTAATGCTATCAGGCCTAATGTGATGATTTCAACCAGAAGTATTATAAAGCACTCTTGCCAGTTATGTTAATGGAGAGAGGCAAGGTGTTAGACAGGGGACCGGATGGGGGTGTCGTTTGTTTTGTTGACTAACACCTCCCACATGCTGTTGGGTTGGGGCTGCTTCATCCAGGCAGACAGTACAGGTGCCAGGGCCTTGCCAGACATAAGGAAGGTGGCTCACTACCCACACACCAACTCTCACTAAAAGAGTTTGGGCTAAATATATCCAAACAAACGAATATGAAGTTGATATTTTAAGTATTTTCTCTGGTTAAAATAAGAATTCCATTCATAGTTTACAACTATGCCAATAAATGCAAATTAAAACAACAGAAAAGAAAACCTTCCATCAACTTTCAACCAAAACTTTCTGGAAATAAAGCAACAAGTCATGCTGTACATACTGTATCTCCATTTCTCTTCCCCACTTCCACTCATTTTCCTCAGTCAGTATGATCAACCATCCGCTCATCCCGAGCCCTGTGGTTGGCTATAGATCGCCTCACATGTGAGACCATCAGCTCCTTTGGGGTTCAACACTATACAGCCAATCACTGTCAAAAATTGAATTTCTCTGGCAGGCATTTCACACATTAGAACAGTTTCCTGCTGCTCTCTGCTCCGCCTTTCTCTATTTTATCTATCTAGCTATCCATCTATCATTATTTATCTGTCTGTCTATTTGCCTCCCTGTCCATCTATTTAGTCACCATCACATGTATGTTTACCATCTAGTGCTACTTGCCTTGCAAAACTACTCTTTCATGCATTAGCAGTCATCATTTATACGTTTAAAGGAGATACATATTCATGTTAATGCATTGATTCCGTAGCAATGTATTCATCATTAGATGTCATTCATTCAAATGACAAGTAATAATAGATTTCTAGTTTAACAAAAAACAAACCTCCACACATGTAAGACTGCACACCGGTTTCTGCTGGTTTGTGATCGGCAGGAAGAAGACCATTTTATAATTTATTATTGTAGTGTTTAGTTTTACTTTTCACACACATGGTGTGAACCACATCAAGGACCAACGAGA